TTTCGTAACCGGGGAGGTACATAGGGTAGTGCGTATAGCACTTCAACTTGCATACTAAAACCCACTTTCTTTCCATAATCTCACATCAACACCCCACGTACCCGACACATAGCCAAACATAGATAGAAATTCTAAAAATCCAAATATATAAACTCAAGATACTCAAATATGTCAAAACCCAAATATAATGCCAATACTTTAAAAAAATATTAAATTCCACAATTGAATATATAATATATTTAATAAACCATTAAATCAATATGCGTAGTTTTTCCATCATAAAACAATGCTTATTATTTGAAAACAAAGTCACACTCACAAATTTTTTTTAAAAAAAATTAAATTTTTAAAAACAAAAAAAACAAAAAAAAAAAAAAAAAAAAAAAACCCTAGCAATCAACGTCTTCCCCACCCCATCCCCCAGACCCTCTCTCTACAATTCCATATTTGCAAGGTTTTTCCAATGAAAGAGCAACAATGGAGGTGGAGAAAGAGGTCTTGAAGATATACCCATCTCTACAACACTGCCATGGACATTGCTATGTTTTTCTAAGCAAACCAATTTGCAATGTTCTCAAACAAACCAATTTGGGTTTAGTGACAAGACCCGCCCCAAATTCCTCGGAATTCGGGACGAGTCCCGTGATATTTCCTACATCATACCAATGGAGGGCCCACTTACTAAAGGCAGATACTTTCTACCAAAAATTCTGCAGTCTCCCCTAAAAATGGACATTTCCCAAATTTCTCAACCTGTTAAAAACACAATTAATATCCCAACAGGCAGCATGCATCATAAACAATTAAACCGTTTACAACAAAGGCCTTCGGCCTCACAAATCAAACCTTAACATGGTAATAACAGAGCATATCTAACTGAGTTCAAATTACAACAGAAAGCAAAGTTCAACGGAAATAAAATGAATAAACGAGCCCTACAGAAGCTCAGAGTTCGGAAGTAGACATCTCGGCTCGGTTGCTCGATTTGAATATAGCTACTGTCTAGGGGGCGTAAAACAGAAAAGTGTTGAGTGGACAAAAACAAGTTTAGTTCACAGTTGAAACCAACATAGTATAATCCCACCGTTTAGAAAACGATGCTGAAACCATATGCATTCAAAACCGAAATAGCCATATATGTATAAATAGTTGAATCAAAACCATAATGAGATCCGAAATCCCATAAAGGTACTTTGTTTCTCAACCCAATCAAACCTTTTCAATATACCCAAACCATTCTCTTGAGAAACGTGCATGTTGGCATGGCGAGCGAGGAAGTATCCTCACCGATAAATAATAATGAATAAATAGTTATATATATATATATATAAGTAAGATACCATCTAGTTTGTACTTGGGAAACAATCCAACCGGGGGATTGTTTGACTAGTCCACATGAAAGAATCATCAATTGACCATGTGGCTAGGGAACGAGTCGTCCAATTGGGACTAAGCTCACCAGCACGTACACCAGAATCCTCAATACTCGTACGCATGTGACAAGTCCTACGCGAGTAGATTAACCCCACTAAGAGTCTATGAAACACCTCGCCAAGGGTGCCCGGGTTCCAACATATCAAAGTATCTCAACATTCCAATTCCATTCCATAATTTTCGTAACCGGGGAGGTACATAGGGTAGTGCGTATAGCACTTCAACTTGCATACTAAAACCCACTTTCTTTCCATAATCTCACATCAACACCCCACGTACCCGACACATAGCCAAACATAGATAGAAATTCTAAAAATCCAAATATATAAACTCAAGATACTCAAATATGTCAAAACCCAAATATAATGCCAATACTTTAAAAAAATATTAAATTCCACAATTGAATATATAATATATTTAATAAACCATTAAATCAATATGCGTAGTTTTTCCATCATAAAACAATGCTTATTATTTGAAAACAAAGTCACACTCACAAATAGTCCCACGCTGCCTGACCCTGAGAGGGTTCCGCCTGCTGTGTAGGAATGGTCAGAGTACCTATTTCAGAATACAAGTACGAGATTAATATAAAACGCTTTGAATGGGAACTTTAAATTAAAATCCTAGTTTCTCAGGTTTCAAGTAAGTGCACGAGGAACGAGACATTCCTAAAGTCCAACTACATGTTTTGGATGATGGGATAGCCTCGGAAGATGCTCAGTCAACCGAGTGGTCAAACTTTCCAAATTGGGTCAACCAGGCCCATAAGGCTAAGACCTTCGATTTTCTATCCGAAAGTTCCTATGGGTTCCACAAGGTTTAGAATACATATCCTGTAAGTTCGCACAATTGGACGGTTATCGTTTAACACAAACTTTAAGGGCTCGTTTGGGACTACTTCTCTAGGAAGCACTTCTACTTATAAATGCTTATACAAAAAGAGCTTTTATTATAAAAGCGTTGAAATTTTCATAAGAAATCGAAGTGCTTCTTGGAAAAGCACTTGGGAGTCCTTCCTAAAGAAGCACATGACATGTACTTCTCCAGAAATCGCTTCAATGGCCCAAAAACGCTTCTAAACTTTTCTGTCAAACGCTATAAGAAGCACTTTTGGTTATCAGAAAACGCTTTTAATTGTTCATGAAGCACTCCCAAACAGGCCATAAGTTATTGAATTGGAATATCCGATTCTTCGATTCATGATCTGTGAAATTCTACACAATTCTAGGGATTCCTATATCAACATATATGAAATTGACGTTGATCCAACGGTCTGAACATGTCTAACTAGATAACACCTAATATGCAATATCCAATCGACGGTCGAAGGATAACCGAATTCAAATCCGAGCACACCTTCGTGCTCGGGACGATATGAGGATTATTTTAGGACCAAGAGGGACACCAAAATAGTGCCCACACCCCGCCATAGGGCCGGCATCGCATGGGTGTCTAAAGCAATTCTGGCAATTGGAAAATCTCCAAACCACCGGTCAGGACTTATACCTACATGATCAGGACATTGAGTGGAGCAATTTTTGTTCTTAGACCAACCCCAAAAAGTGGCCGGAGGTGGCCGGAATCAAGGGGCCAAAAATGGCCAAAACTTCTATCTCTTATTTGACCAACCAAAATGCATAAATTGATCCTAAATATCCCAACCAGCAACTAGATCAAATTGAGAGAATGGAAAAGCATACCTAGATCGTAAGATTTGGTGCCCAGAATTGTTCGAAATGAGCGTTGGAAAATTTACGTAAAATCCTGCTATTTTTCTTAATTTTATGGCAGTATGCGGCGGCAGTGGTGGTTCAGAGCCGTGTGGAGCGAGAGAGAGAGAGAGAGAGAGAGATAGAGAGAGAATTTCATATTTTTATCAAACTCTTTTTGAATTATTTACAGTTATGCCATTACTTTTGTTTTGGTCATAACTTCTTCGTTACAACTCTGATTCAAGCCCACTACGTGTCTACGGGCTCATGTCAACATGATCTACATAATGGTACCAGTCATTTCCCCCAAATCCTTTTGGATTAGTAAGTGACCAAATTACCCCTACCCCTATGGGCAAAATTGTAATTTCAAAACTTAATAAATTAATTAAATTAACGGATAAAGATATTTTGGGTCGGGATGTTACATTTAAGGATTTCTTCTCCTTCCTTTTTCTGGGTTTTGGGTTTGTAAATTTACAAACCATGGCTTGATGGTCTACAACAGCATCAGCTGGGTTGGGTAATTTGAGTTTCAAAGGTTGGGGGCGAAATTGAGTTTCTAATAAAGCAGGAGAAGGTGGGGTGGTGTTGATGGATGAGAAGGTTCATGCCATTGCCACCACAATGCCTAGGCTTAAGCACCTTGATATGGCATACCATCTTATCAGCATAAAAAACGCTATTTAAATACTCTCAAGCTGCACCGAGCTCGAGTTTTTGGATTTGAGAGGGTGTTGGGATGTTCAACTTGAGGACAAGTTCCTCAAGGAAAAGTACCCAAAATTGAAGGTTTTAGGGCCTCTTATTCTCAGATGCTTTTGAGTATTTGGCCTGGGAATTTGTGGCTGGTGAATTGGAGGATTACTATGATGATGATGATGTGAATTATGATGGGATGTGGGATGATGAGGGAAGGCTAGAGGAGCTAAGCTGAGGTTTTATGAAGGAATTAATCAGAATGAGGATGCAGTGTATTGAGGGTATGGTTGGCCTCCATCTCTTTAATAAAGTTGAGTTTTTTTTTTCTAATTTTTCAAATTATTTGCTTTCGTAGGGATTTCTTCTCCTTCCTTTTTCTGGGTTTTGAGTCTAGAAATTTACAAACCATGGCGGCATCAGCTGGGTTGGGTGATTTGAGTTTCAAAGGTTACATGCTAAATTGAGTTTCTTTAAAGGAGGAGAAGGGGGGTGGTGTTAGTGATATGCTGGTTTACTTTTCTTCTTCTTTTTTCTATTTTGAATTTTGTTTGTTTTTGTTTTTACATTTTTTTTAATTTTTATTAATATTGTACTTTGTAAAATGACAAACTTACCCTTATAATTGATGGAAAATTGGATGGAAGTGTAGAAACTTGATGGTAGGTGTTAAATTGGCAATACAATTTATTATAAGGGCTAAATTGGCTGAAAAAATAATTCATGGTGGACATTTCGACAAGCATTATAGTTTAGGGGGATTTTCGGCACTTCCCTTTATTTATTTTGCAACCATATTTCATTTTTCACTAACTAGCTTTTTGATACAACCAATATTAGGGATACAACCGATACTAGCGAAGCGAGAGGGAATTGAATCTAGAGCCTTAACTGCAAGGGTAAATATTCTTTACTATTTAAGCTAATGATAGACCAATTAACTCGCTTAGTTCGTCTATCATCTCATGTAAGGAAATTAAAAATCTCTTCTTTATTTTCCTTTTTGTTTCCGTAGTTTCATGCACACTCCCTAAACCCAAAAAGAAGAAAGGAAAAAAAAAATTAAAAACAAAAAAGGTATTGATAGATCTGTTGAATCATTCAAACATAAAACCCCATCAGCCAATGAGAAAAATAAGGAGGAAAATAAAATATTCCATTCTAAATTCATACGAAGATTTTATTAAAATCCAAGGTAAAGCTCATCAAGCAAAATAGACAAATACAAGTCATCATCTTCTTCTTCTTTTTTGGTTGGGGGAATTAGAAGGAGAGTTTGGGTTTGGGTGGGTATTTGATTGCATTCTTGACAATCTTTTTGGAGGCAGCATCACCAAGATCAACGCCGCATATATCAGCCAACCTGATGAGGTATAGAAGCACATCAGATAGCTCTTCTCCCAGATGCTCCTTATCTGATTCCTCCCAATTTGGCAACCCTTTGTCCACCTCTCCCCTCCATTGGAATATTTCTGATAGCTCTCCTACCTCTCCCACCTACCACCACATCACCATATATTATTTGGCATCATCAAGAATCAATGTATATCAACCATGAATTTATTATTATTTTTAATTTTTAGTTTGTATTTATTTTCATCCACTCATATACATGAATGCCTTGGATTTGTATGATTCTATGCAATCAAATCTTGCTAAAAGTGTTGCTTTCATAAACAAGATGACATGAAAGAGCTTTTCCAAACCTTGGGCGCACATGTAAGTTGTAATTTGTAACCCCCCATATGCCTTAGCCTACCAAATGTTTATTATGCCAAAGAATATTGCACCAAAGTGCGTGGCACATTGAAGAACCATTTAGCTTTGATGCAAAACTGAAGTTGCAAACCCAGTTTCATCTTGCAGAAACTGTTAAAGCACAACCTTAGCAGCAGCCATATGTGGATGAACATGGCAGCAGGTGCAAGCAGCCCAAACTAGTTGCTTTAATATATCTGCCATCGAAGTTTTGGCAGACCTGCCAAGTTTGTAGCTACAGTTTACTGCTCGTTAAAATTCTGAGTCTGGACTTTCATGAAAGGTAATTCATGTAGCTTATACCAACAAGAGACCCTTCATACATGTCTAAAAAAAATGTGTCTTTATCTACAAAGAGATCCAACAAATGGAATAATATAGAGAAGATTGCATGACCCTTTTGTGCAAAAACGACATAGAAGAGACATAAAGCCATGGTTAACAAAAACATCTCATATGGTGTCTGCACATTATTACTGTGCGGATGTTATAGTTTGTAAACTGGGAGAGGTAGTAGAAAATATATGATGTCCGCACGGTAATAACGTATGAAAGTCCGCATCGGAGAATATATATATATATATATGTTCAGGGAGAAGTAGTGAGGAAGATTATTTACCATGGCAAGGAGTAGATTTCTGGGACTGTGGTATTTCTCCCAATCTCTGGCCTTGGCAAATTCCTCAAGCTTCTTAGAGAGGTCCTTAAGACTAATGTTCACTCTCTCATCTTCAGCTACATGAATCTCTTCTCCTTCTCCCATTTTTCAGTATGTATTTGGGTTTTGCATGGAGAGAAGAGGGGGCATCTTATAGCTTTTAAAAGGATTACTAGATTTTTTCTCCTTATCTTTTTAAGGAATAAGTATCTAATATGCAAATAAAATTGAAAGGAAAGGATGAAAAGTCATAAAATGCCGCCCCTCAGTCCTCAGTCCTCATATATGGTCTATACAAGAGATTCCTTACTGCCCTCCACTGTGCAATGACCCAACTTTAATGCATAAAATTAGATGAGAACATTCCATCATTAGTTACCATGGATTTCATGTTTAAATCACAAACCATTAAGGATGAGATGGTTATTCATTTAGTGTTCCAACCACTAGAAGGATTAGGTAGCTCAGAAGTGATTCATTCCCCTTGACTCAAAATGCAATGATATCGTGTAAGAGACTTACTACTCAAGTGATTAAAAACGTTTATCACTGCACCTAAGATTTTGTTTCGATTCTCCTCTGCTCCAATATTACTTGTATAAGATATGCAACAATACAACTAAGAGTAAAGTTGTACAATTACCCCCTTTAGGTGCAAATTTTACTTTCCTTTTACTCCATGGAAAATTCATGAACCTTGATATAATTGACTATTTTAAGGTGAAAGATGAACATATATGACTCAACTTTCCAATTTCCCTATGATGAGATCCAATGCAGAAATTCTTAACCCATAATTATATGTGACAATGCTAGTTAATCTGCAATTAAGGAACATAATTATATGGTACCATGGATGTGATAAATTGTTGTGACCATGTGCAACTCACATCATTGAAAAGATATTCAAAAATTTATGTGGACAAGCTGTGGTGTGTGGTAGGTGTCTTTGAATTTGTCAACCTCCTTATACTGTCCAATATGCAATGGATACAAACTAGAAAAATAACTAAAAAATCTTCTAACCGCAAACAAAACTTCCTTCTCCTTTTCTTTTGGATTCTTTTCCTTTTATTAGCTGCAGCATCACGCATCACTATACTTTCAGTTTGTGAATGTGAGAAAGATATCCAAAGTTAATTAGAAAGTATACCTGCTCACGTGTCACACATTGACAATATTCTTTTGCTAGATAATTTGGTATTTTATGTCGTAGAACTATCAATTTGGACCACCGATTATATAATTTCTTGTCCGGACGTGTGGTTACGATTAAACAAGACTTTGAGAAACCTAAAACACCAATATTAAAATCCAATAATTCTTTTCTTAGGGCATGTGTAAGCATATATTGCGATTTCAACGATTCCAAAAGAAGTGTGAGGCTATTCCACACAATGTTTAATCATTGTGTTCTACAGCATTAAAGAAAAGAATATCATATGTCATTCGAGTTAAATCAATACAAACGATCACCATGGCAATTACTTATTAAAAAAATTGTTAACGCAATAGTTTTGGCTGCACATACAACCTTGAGAATAACCATTACGAAATGTGAAATGAAATCTAACTAAAATAGAAAGAAAAAAAAAAACAAGAATATACGATATGGCATTAGAGAAAGAAGAAGAAGAAAAAAAAGCTAAGTTCAAGGTTGAAATCAACTGGCTAGGGCAGTGGATATGACAAAGATAAACTTAATAACGATTCAGTGCCATGTAGAAGATCCGATAAGATAAAATTCAGAAAGGGTCGGCACAATGCTTGAATTCTTTAATTGACAATTCCCATGTAGAAAATGTTAAGAATCTTGTTGTTCTAGGTAGGGATCGGTCGGTCGGTTTGACATTATTGACATTCATCTTGGGTGATGTTTAACTGCTGGGAAAAAAAAATTCATAAATTCTCCGATCCTTCCCAAAAGGATCCAATTGTTAGGCAAGATGCCAATAATATGGACTGGTGGTATATTATATTGACCATTTGTTATCTTTTTTCTTCTTCTTCTTTTTAAAACATCGCTAGAGCTTAAGTTTCGAACCTAAGACCACTAGCAACTGATGTTATGATATCATGTTAGACTATTTTTAGTAGATTAACAATATATGTGAAGCTAACACTCTCTCCTCATGATAAAAGTTTATACTACAATTTTAATTATTGAACACAAATTATGGTGTTGTCACCCCTCTTTCGAGCTTCAGAGCGCTTTATGAGTATAACGTCGAGGATCATGTATAAAGTTGAGATTTTGTGTCCAGATATATGGAGTCGGGTCAAGCACTGAGACCCAAGGTCGAGTCTAGAGTCCAAGGTCTAGGATCTAGATCCTAGGTTTTGGAAATTGAGTTAAAGGTCTATAATAGAAAGTCCAAGTTTTGTGGTCTAGGGTCGGTTTAGGTACATTTCAAGTCCTATTGCTCTTTACACCTTAGATACAACATTCATTTCTTCTAATTTTAAGATTTAAAAAATAAATAAAACAAGTCCTCCCTGCCCCCCCTCCCCACCTATTGATCTTTCTCTTCTACCTTTTCCATTGTACATTTTCTTTAGAAGAAAAAAAAAAACAAAGAAGACTCACTATTATACTCAATATGGGAGCCTAAATCACACACACACACACACACACACATATATATATATATAAAAACTCTACACGAAAAGGACTTTAGAAACACATGCAAAACTCATTTACAACATAACAAAGACGCTTCGAACTTCCTATAAATTACAAAACTGTCATCAATTTCTTAAAACAAGCCCAACCCCAAAACCTCATAAAAAAATCCAAAACACACAATAGGGCATCAAAGTAATTTAATAATCAAAAGTAAATTCAAAAGGGCTAGCTGTTATTTTTTGCGTTTGTTTATAGAAATTATATGATGTAGGATTTATCTATATTATTAGTGCTAAGAATGGATATATAACTAAATATCTCTATATATATAAAAAATTGTAGTTTGACATAAAAGTAAAACTATAGAATTAAAGAAAAATTAGTGAGAATAGAATGGGAGAATAAAGAGAAAGATAGAGAGCAATGTTTTAGATATCATCAAGTCGCCCTTTTTCCATTCTATTAAAGGGTCATTCACGGCACTAGTTATAGTTCCATGAGTGAGGATGATACCCAAAAAGTTAATAAAACATTTGGACTGAAAGAATATAAATTTAAAATGTTATCTCTTTTTATTTATTTTTTTGGAAATTTAAAATGTTATCTAAGCATCAAACTTTGGTATGCTTGTTATTTATTTATTTTCCTTACAAAAGACATGAATTTAAGCTTTACTTTCGTGGAGACTTAAAAATGTTTATTCGAGAGGGTGCCACTTTTTTAAGATTCGAATTACGTACACGTATCAACAGTTTCCTCCAAGCACACTGATACGTATAAGATTTAGGGAAAGTGGTCACCATGTAAGCTGTTGAATGAAGCGGCCCAGTTGAAGAGAAGAGGAATTCAACCTTGAAGATATTTAGGGAAAAAAATGAAGAAAAAACTCTTCTCGAAAATAGAGAGGAAATGGAGATGAAGTTGGTGATATTGAAGTTTTAAGAACTTGAACGAAATGGTTAGGGAGTAAATAACAAGATATTGCAACAAATTCCAAACGATTGATAATGTTTTGGTTAGTTCATATATACGGCGCTTAAGAGATGGGAAATATTACTAGACTGAGAGAGTTAGTTGACATACGCAAGTCTAGAAAGTCTGACCAATAGAGTGTTAGTTGGATTGACTTAGATTTTTGGTGAGCTCTCAAGTAGTCTTGGATTTAAGCCCCCATGGTACCTACGTATGTGAGTTTGCCCATCCCCATTCGTAATTTTGGCATATATATATATGTATATATATATATATATATATGAGTCTATTATGAACTTGATCTATTTTAAATAATTAAGATATTGCATCTCCACCTGTGTTTCGATGTCGAATCTCTACCAACATTCTTTTTGTAGTTTCTTCATGCTTGGAATAAGTCATAGAGACTCTTTGAGTTTTCTGTATAATTTTCATCTCTCCTTTGTGAGAGCTTTCCACCGCTCATTTGTGAGAGTTTTATTTGTATTGTGATGACTTGATTTTTTCAAGTTTTATCTATGTTTGGTTGTTCTGAGTTTACACTTTTAGTTGGGATGCATATGCCAAAATTTCTTCGATAATGTGTGATCGTTAGTGGAGGAGCTCCAAAATTTATCCACAAAAAAAAAAAAAAAAGATATTGACATGTCAATTCCCACGTTATTCGGTGACTAGTTTTCGATAATTATATATATATATATATATATTGCAAGAGTCCATAATTCTAACAATTAATTATGTTTTAGAAAAAGAATTATCATTAGATTAAGAATTAATTTGTAACACCCCGACTCCAATTAAATTTCTAATTTAAAGTATTTAATCTAATTACATATGAATTTACGAAATTACCCTTGGGGCAGGGTAATTTGGTCATTTTCTTATCCGAAAGGATTTTGGGACCACGAGTGGTTTGCTTGCGTAGGTGGTTCTGAGATGAATTCGTAGACAGATGGTAGGCTTGAATCGGAGTTATGACGAAATTTTGGCGATCAAATTACCTTCGGTGGCAAAACTGTAAATAATTTGAAAAAGATATTAGTAAAAATCAGTTTTGTTTTCAGTTTTACCTCTCTCTCTCTCTCTCTTTCTCTCCCCGAGCTCTTCTCCCTCTCTCCCGAGTTACTGTTCACCCGAACAGAAAAATTCACGCCTCCACCACTTCCGGCCACCTCAGCCCTCGAGACCGGTCCCAAAAGCTTCGTCTCGACGTCCCCGTCAAGACCCAATAGTTTTCGTCGCCGGAAAACTCGAGAATAGCCAGCAGTTGCAACTGGTTCGTTTCGGGATTTTCCAATCGTTGCGCCGTCGTCTCCGCCGCCTTTCTCTGGTGTTTGAGGTGAGGTTTTTTCCTCTCTCTTTCTGTTCTAGCTGCCTTTGGTTAGGATTGGATCTTTTTGCTGCGTAAAACCCGATTTGAGAAGTTAGGGTTTTAGTCGATTTTCAATTCGAAATTCCGGCCAGTTCCCGGCTGTTTTGGGCTTGGCCGTAGTTGAATGAAGTGCTCCCCTAGTTGAGTAGGACCTGTAGCCGGGAAGGTGACTTGTGATTTGGAGATTTTCCGTTGTCGAAATTTCTCTGCACACCTGCTTGCTGCCAGCGCGTGTGGCGGGGCATGGGCAAGTGTGGTAGAGTTGCAAATTGTTCCAGTGTGATCCTTAGGTTGTCACAAGCGCGTAGGATTTCGCAGATCTCGATTCCGAGGTCGTTTGACTATCGAACGGATTAGCGCATATTGTGCGTTATCCGGGTTCGATA